CTTCTGTGTGTCACAGACTTACTTGTACCCGGCGCCTGCACCGCTCCTCTCCTACTGCAGTCCTCAGGTCACGCGGTCCGAAAGCTTTGCGTTGCCATACAGCCTGAATAGTATAGTCATCTTCGGTCCAGCGAACGGCTCCCTTGGCTGGTTCGAAGGCTGCACTGCAGCTCCTTAAATAACTTATTCCCATGATGTCACGACCTTAAAGGGACCACGTCATCTAGGCGATCCAATACTGTTTGAACTCTTCTGAACCTATTTAAAGTCTGTTCTAGCCTTTACTCATTGCCATATAGTGGTATCTGTTGGATCCTCATTTAGTGCTCCTCGAGATTCCCTTGTGATTTCCGGTGTTTGACCTCGGCTTCGTGTTTGACTCATGATTTCTGGTATCCTGACCCGGCTTCGTATGTGACTCGTGATTTCTGGTATCCTGACCTTGGCTTCGTATTTGACTTGTGTTTTCTTGTATCCTGACCTAGGCTTTGTATTTGACTAGTAATTTCTGGTATCCTGAGCGCGGCTTCATATTGGACTCATGATTTCTGGTATCCTGACCCGGCTATAGCGGAATGGTCTCTGCCACAGTATCCCTCTTTGTACTAGGGGCTGTCCATAACCCTTGTGTGCCTCTATTTTCCTGTGCTACTACTGCTCGTTACTTGGGGAAACAAGTAAAACATTATTACCTTTTGCCTTTTTGTCTGATTGTTCGGTATTATCCCTATTTCAGCTGACTTTCCCTATATAGTCTGACAAACAAACTAAGTACCGAACAACCAGGCCACCCATGAGAGGAGCGTGGCACCAATTGACCTTCCTAACCCTGTTCACACCTTCTTAACCACAAACACATGAACCAACTTGTTGGTCCCCTGGGTGGGTGCTGTTCGTTTATGCGAACACGTGGCGGCGCCCATCTTGGAATACAAACTGCACCAGCTGGGTTTGCTCGTAGAGTGTCTGGAACCCAAATCGGACACTCGACGGCACGAACACGACTGAGACTTCCATCCTCGTGTAAGTTTGTGTAAACTCATGGGAACAGAGCGGCATTCGGTGAAAAGAACCACACGAACAAGATGATTTCAACGAACTAAGGCACGAACCATCTTTATATGCAATTTCGTGTCTTGAAAGTAGACCAACCGCACAGCCCAGGCGTATGGAACTATTTGGGCATACACCTCATGTGCAGTCGGTAAAACTAAGACTTCCATGGAATTGCCGAACCCCTAAACCGATCTGGGTGATTTCTCAGTATGTTGCTCCCCCAGATCGGGGCTATCAAGGGATGTCTGAATTGTGGGAGTGGGATATGTTTTTAGGGTATTTCCAAAAATGTATAAAAATTTTAATTTTTTCGTTTTGAGATAATTGAGTTGATACAATCAACTCAGTTATTTCCAAATGAAAAAATGACAATTTTTATACAGTCTAAGCAGAGGGGAGGAATTGTGTGAAATGTATGGGACTGACTCTTTATCTGACTCTATGTTTATTGGTTGTTCACTGTTTTTCCCTGTGTCCAACAAGGTCCACGTGGGTGGTAACCTTGTGGAAAGACTTGCATAAAAGGCCAGCATGGCCCATTAAAGTTCAGTTCTGCTCCTAATACTGAGTGTCGTCCAGCTATTAGGAAGGGTGTTGGGAGATTCGTGTTGTAACAGACCCTCCGTCAATTGATGCTCCTAGTGCTTACCAAGAACCATCAGCACTGCAGATCCCATGAACCGCCGCAGCTTGGCTGGGAACTCACCGTCCTCTACCCACACTGGACCTACAACAAGGCTCCAGGTTCCAGTGGGTGACCCTCTCTTCCTCCAGAGAGTTAAGCAGGAATAGCTCTTAAAATAACTTAGTGATTATAGCCCAGGGGAGTATACAGAGTATAGCAATCCCCCAGTGTAGATGCAGTCTTTTCCCCCACACATGAGATGAGGCTCTATGTTGAGGGTAAAACAGGAACTCAGCAGATCTGAGGGTTTATTGTTTTTTATACAGTTTCCCCCACAAGGTTACCACCCACGTTGACCTTGTGGAGCACAGGACACAAAGTCACTGTCAGGATCTTACCTGAGTTGGGAGTCTGTAGTGCAGATATGATGCTCACCCTTGCAAATAGCCACAGGCCAAGGTGGTCAGGTAAGAATTCACCTGGCCTGTGGGTCTGTGCAAAGTTCCAAGTCGCAGTGCAGGCAAGGACTCAAACAGCAGGATTGTCAAGGGATAGCCGAGGTCAAAGGATGCCAGAGGACAGGAACAACGAGGAGTAGCCGAAGTCAAGGGATGCCAGAGGTCAGAGTAAATGATGTCAGAAGCCGGGGTCATTATGAAGCAGAGTAACAATAGACAGGAACACTGGTAGGGAACACACACAACAGGATCAAAGACTTGATCCAGATCACAGGACGTGGCTGAGTTTATATACCCTGCTTATGTCTGATCAGGGTCAGGTGAAGCACAGCAGTAGTCAAGGTACAGTGCTGTAGACAAGCCAGGAAGAACAGGACCGGAATGGCTTAATGACAAACAAAGCTGCTGTGGCTCAATGGTAGAAAGCAGACCCAGGACTGCCAAGTTTCCAGGTTTGAATCCTGACAGTCACAAAGCCAATAAAAAGAGTTTTACATTTGAACACTCTCAGTTACTGTACACAAACCCTCTCCTCTGCTTGTGATACAATTAGCAAAGACAATAAACTAACTCAATTAACTCTAAGCAGAAAAACATACTATGACAAACATACTTTGTGCCTGGAGAGTACCTCTTGCCATGTGATTATGGTCCCTGGGAGATTTGGCCCTTTAAATACGGTATTTGGGCAGATTGTATTTTATTGTGCTGTTTATGGCTCTTTAAGAACTATCGTTGGGCTTATGCTGGCCCTTTAAGACTGTGCTGGCCCTTTAAGAACCATCTGGGGACATACTGAGACTTTGTGTGGCAATGCCCCTTTAAGTCTTTAAAATACTGTGTTCCTGGCTTTCTCCCACTTGGTTCAATAAATGGGGCTTACTGAACCAAGTACCACACAGGCAGACCACCCAGAAGTGGAAGCGTGCAGGCAATTTACCTCCCAGGCTGGGAGGCTACGGTAGGTAAATTACCGACCGCTGGGTGGCAGCCGTTTGCACAAAGGAACACGTGGCGGTAGCCATCTTTATTCATTCGCACGCGGTCAGCGGTGTGTGCAGCCAAATTCATGGAACTGAAATTGGCTGCACATTTCAACGAATACCTCTGACTGGAGTTGAGCGAACCCGAACTGTAAAGTTCGGGTTCGTACCGAACATTAGGTTTTTTGAACCGCGGACCCGAACACGGACATATCACTGTATGTTCGGGTTGGAGTTCGGTGTTCAGCGATTTAATGGCGCTTTTTCAAAGGCTGCAGGGCAGCCAATCAACAAGCGTTTGACTCGTGTGCCCTTAGAAGCCATCACAGCCATGCCTTCTAATGGCATGGCTGTGATTGGCCAGTACAGCATGTGACCCAGCCTCTATATATAAGCTGGAGTCGCGTATCGATTAGTGGGGTGGGGTGCACTTCATATCTGAGAGTCAAATAGAATAGTCAAATACTGCTGTCACATTGCAGTTTTAAAATGTAAAAATGTTTGGGTCCTAAACTGCTAAATTATAGTTTAGTGTGGGTGCACTTTATATCTGAGAGTCAAATCGAAGCGTCTAATAGTGTGCTTACAGTGCAGTTGTAAAAATTCAAATTTTCTGGGTGCTAGTCTGCTAAATAGTACATTTTGGGGCCTGCTCTTCATATCTGAGAGTCAAATCGAAGTGTCAAATAGTGCGCTTACTGAGCAGTTGTAAACATTCTAATTGTTTTGCTGCTAATCTGCTGCTTACATTGGAGTCACATTTTTTTTTTTGGTGCTAAATAGTATATTTGGGGTGTTCACTTCATATCGGAGAGTCAAATCGAAGCGTAACTTTGATTCAAATTTACTACATCGGTCACTTGTAACATTGTTTCACACCTACAACACTTGTTACACAGATCTAAGTGATAGAAAACAGATTGATATGTTCTACACTAGAAACTACCAGATAACAAGCTGCTATATTTAAACCAGTTATCAATAGCTAAGAGGTACTTCAGCAATATTGTAATTCTGGGGCAATACCCTTACAAGTCAAACTGAGAGGTAAGTTTATAGGGAAAACTGTTGCCTGGAGGAAATTCTAAAACAATTTCCATATGTCCTTTGCAGACTTTACATGCTGGAAAAACACAGGTGCCACCTGCTGTGGCTTTCTGCAGTGTGCATACCAGCAAGGAGGGCAGGGTTGAGTAGTGGGTGGAAGATGATGTGGAGGATGATGAGGTCCTAGACCCCATATGGAATCAAGGTCATGCGAGTGACGTATGCAGTTTGGAGGAAGAGGCGCTGTGGCACAGAGGCACCAGCACAGCATAAGAGGGATCAGGGTGCAAAAACGGAGCGGCTGTCCCCTAGCGCTCGTTGGCATGTATTAGCTCAAGAATTACCAGTTATCCAAGTAATACATGTAGCGATCAAAGTAACCATTATAGAGTTGAGCGAACCTGAACTGCAAAGTTCGGGTTTGTACCAGATTTAACAATCCATTCGCAGTTTCACAGTCAGGTGGGCAGTCCGGTGACCAGGACCCAGACACTGTCAGGGTGGCGGTCGGATGACCGGGACTCAGTATGCCTGATGTTGAAGTTAGGAGTCACAGTGTGGAATGGATTAGCAGGGTCTGGTGCAGGGTAACCGCACGCCCCCTGGTATTGAGCACCAGCGTTTGTGCGGCCACATACCAGGAACCTGATGCAGCTTCAGTAAAAAGAGTACTGGATACCAGAAGCAATCACCAGACTGATCCACAACTTGGAACAGGATGTGACATTCACTGTAACGGCTGTGCGCGCTTTTGACGTTGTCACCCTGCTGCTGCTCACCTTTCTGCGTTATAGCGTCACTTCGGCCTTCCCGCTCACCGCCTCATGAGACTGTGGGAGCAGCTGCAGGCGACAGTGGAGTTTCAGCTGCAGCACGCACGGGTCGGTGGCTCTGCACCAGACTTCCCTCCAATTGATCAGAGTTAAAGGATTTCAAGTGGACTCATTACACTAAAGAGTCCTGTGTTGTTATTTGTCGTCACTACCTTCCCGCGTTGGGAGTGGGTCATTTGTGCGCCTGCTGCCTTCCTTGCATGTGGTAGCCGTTTCTCAGGGTCCCTGTACGGAATGGAACCCTGATTCCCCGTTACCTGTGGTCACCATGGTAGGTGCAGAATAGAAAGTTGATATGGATGACATCCTCATGCAAAGTCGCAGCCACGGTGATGTGCGATTGGCCCGAGGTTCTCTAGAGTCAACAAAGTGCCTGCGCAACTATAATGTCAACATCTACTCTGCTGAACAGAGTTGTCTTTTTTTATAAGTCCCAATATTTTGGGTGCTACCCCAATTAAAATATATATATATATTTGTGCTCGGAATTTAATACGTAATGGATAGTATCTGAAAAGGAAAAGTTGGTTGTGGTGTGCCGAAACCAACGTACGAGTGGGCCTGTAAATAAAAGAGGGCCCACCAAGGAAAATTGTAATGCTAACTGGGTGTAGGTGGGTGGGGACAATCAACTGGATTGGCAGAGGTGAGTAGGGGCTGGGAGTTTAAGTAGGGGACTTACTCTTCCCACAAATTCAGGCCTAAAGGCCTTTCTACTTGTGCTCTAAATTTAATATGTAATGGATAGTATCTGAAAAGGAAAAGTTGCTTGTGGTGTGCCGAAACCAACGTATGAGTGGGCCTGTAAATAAAAGAGGGAAAAAGAGAAGTTCGAGAAAAGACACACTTTATTGCATTTTACATAACCAAGTTCCTGAAGGCTTGACGAAGCTTTCTTTTTGGTTGTGGTATATATGTGTGGTATATGGAGGATTTCCATCGACCCAGTCTCTTGATGATGTGGACCGGGGTGTTTGTGCTGGAGATTGATGAAGCGGCTCCTATGCGGAAGGAGTGCCCGGAGAATGAAGCCAGATTGTAACCCAGTTTGGATAGTAATGTTCTGACGTGTGCTGTGAATTTAGCCGTGGTGAGCGGGTGCCCTTGTAGTGATAAGAGTACCTCTAAGAGGGTGTTGTGAGTGATTAGTTTTTGTTGATGGGAGCGTAAGTACATAGTGATCTTCCACCTTAGTGAGGTGTGAAGCTTTGAGGCTGTGCGTGATATCCCCTTGGCAAACAACGATGAACTCTCTGGGTCTGAGAAAACCGTAGAAAGCAAGATAGATAGCAGATTTAATCACCAGGTTTGTGTTGGGATCGAACGGGGATTCGTCAAGGAGATTGCTGAGTGATCTACAGAAAGGCCCATTTATAGGCAGTCTTGTGGTGGTGAGCAGAACAGAAACCTTTAATATACCTTCTTGTCATCATATCCAGTTAAAAAGGTCTTGAAAGGTATATTAAAGGTTTCTGTTCTGCTCACCACCACAAGACTGCCTATAAATGGGCCTTTCTTTAGATCACTCAGCAATCTCCTTGACGAATCCCCGTTCGATCCCAACACAAACCTGGTGATTAAATCTGTTATCTATCTTGCTTTTTCCAATAGTAAATTGGTGAGACTATGGTGCTGAACCCCGGTGAGGTAAAGTTTAATAATGTTGTGAGAAAGTTTAAGATTTAAGTGGCAGAAAGAAGCAAAAGCCACCATGCTTTGTGTAGAAAAATCACCTTGTAAACCGAATTCTGCTGTGAATTTATTAAAAATGGTAAGTGCCCTATTGTAGGAGATAGCTGTGTTAGGTGAGTGAGAGTCCTAGCATGGTGCATTAGTGCGCTCAATCCAGGATTAGTTTGTGAAAGCGTGGTGTCCTGGATGGCTGATGGTGAGCCGTAGGGAGTGCCTGGAAGAATACCTGGAATTGAGAGCGAGAAAGAGCATCATCGGCCGTGTTGTGGATACATCAATCGGTCTTTTAAGTGTGTGTTTTAATGAATATGTTTTTCGTGCGGCGTTCGGTTGTTTTAGCTGGGATCTGAGCGGTAATCTCACGAATGATGCGCTCAGACCCCAGCTATCTACCGAACGTCCATTCGTGCAAATAGACCTAACATACGAAAAACTGTGTATTTTAAAGTAAATTGCCGGTTCTGCTGCACGGAGGGATAATCCACTTAACAGTATATTCCAGTGGGAGGATCCCTCTCGTGCAGCAGTGCCTGATGGGAGAAATGCTTTGTACTGTAAGTTCCCCACGTAGTCCACTCTGGGAATACCCCTGGGATAGGACTCAGGAAACCCCTTGCATGGGGAATTGTATAAATTGTGGAGCCTGTGAATAAAGCCTTCAGTTGACTCTCAGAACTGTGTTTCGTCCGGTTACTGGGAGATTTGGGATATTGCCTTGCTTTTCAGTGCTTGACTGTGGATTACCTTCTGAACCAGCGGAGATCGTGGGATTTATTATTGCCGCTCCGTACTGTAACCCATTGTGTTCAATAATTATATCACAGGCAGAGGGGAGGATTTGTGTGTAATTGCTGGGAGTGTTTTACTATAATGTACGTATTTTATTGGTTGTTTTACAAAACCCTGTGGGTGGTACTATGTGTGTAGAATGGGCATAAAAGCAGAGTGTTTCATTAAAAGCTTGAGTTCTTCTTCACCCTCAATCTGAGTCCTGTCTCTAATTGGGGGAATCGGCTACAAGGGATTGCTATACTAGTCATACTCTCTTGCTATTATCACTGAGCTCTTGTAAGAGCTGTTCTGTTCCTGTTACGCTCTCTGGGGAAAGAGAGGTTCACCCACTGGAAGCTGGATTCTGGCCTCGGGTCCAGGGTGGGTGGAGACGGCGAGACCCCGGCGCAGCTGCATCGCTGGAAGTGGGGTCTGCAGTGCTGATGGTGTCGGTTGTAGTGCTTGGAGTCCTCACCGAGCACTAAGAGCATCGATTGGCGGAGGTACTCGGTCAGAGTGCCAGCGGTCCGTCACACATACAGGGAGTGCAGAATTATTAGGCAAGTTGTATTTTTGAGGATTCATTTTATTATTGAACAACAACCATGTTCTCAATGAACCCAAAAAACTCATTAATATCAAAGCTGAATATTTTGGAAGTAGTTTTTAGTTTGTTTTTAGTTTTAGCTATGTTAGGGGGATATCTGTGTGTGCAGGTGACTATTACTGTGCATAATTATTAGGCAACTTAACAAAAACAAATATATACCCATTTCAATTATTTATTATTACCAGTGAAACCAATATAACATCTCAACATTCACAAATATACATTTCTGACATTCAAAAACAAAACAAAAACAAATCAGTGACCAATATAGCCACCTTTCTTTGCAAGGACATCCATGGATTCTGTCAGTGTTTGATCTGTTCACCATCAACATTGCGTGCAGCAGCAACCACAGCCTCCCAGACACTGTTCAGAGAGGTGTACTGTTTTTCCCTCCTTGTAAATCTCACATTTGATGATGGACCACAGGTTCTCAATGGGGTTCAGATCAGGTGAACAAGGAGGCCATGTCATTAGATTTTCTTCTTTTATACCCTTTCTTGCCAGCCACGCTGTGGAGTACTTGGACGCGTGTGATGGAGCATTGTCCTTCATGAAAATCATGTTTTTCTTGAAGGATGCAGACTTCTTCCTGTACCACTGCTTGAAGAAGGTGTCTTCCAGGAACTGGCAGTGGGACTGGGAGTTGAGCTTGACTCCATCCTCAACCCGAAAAGGCCCCACAAGCTCATCTTTGATGATACTAGCCCAAACCAGTACTCCACCTCCACCTTGCTGGCGTCTGAGTCGGACTGGAGCTCTCTGCCCTTTACCAATCCAGCCACGGGCCCATCCATCTGGCCCATCAAGACTCACTCTCATTTCATCAGTCCATAAAACCTTAGAAAAAGCAGTCTTGAGATATTTCTTGGCCCAATCTTGACGTTTCAGCTTGTGTGTCTTGTTCAGTGGTGGTCGTTTTTCAGCCTTTCTTACCTTGGCCATGTCTCTGAGTATTGCACACCTTGTGCTTTTGGGCACTCCAGTGATGTTGCAGCTCTGAAATATGGCCAAACTGGTGGCAAGTGGCATTGTGGCAGCTGCACGCTTGACTTTTCTCAGTTCATGGGCAGTTATTTTGCGCCTTGGTTTTCCCACACGCTTCTTGCGACCCTGTTGACTATTTTGAATGAAATGCTTGATTGTTCGATGATCACGCTTCAGAAGCTTTGCAATTTTAAGAGTGCTGCATCCCTCTGCAAGATATCTCACTATTTTTGACTTTTCTGAGCCTGTCAAGTCCTTCTTTTGACCCATTTTGCCAAGGAAAGGAAGTTGCCTAATAATTATGCACACCTGATATAGGGTGTTGATGTCATTAGACCACACCCCTTCTCATTACAGAGATGCACATCACCTAATATGCTTAATTGGTAGTAGGCTTTCGAGCCTATACAGCTTGGAGTAAGACAACATGCATAAAGAGGATGATGTGGTCAAAATTTGCCTAATAATTCTGCACTCCCTGTACATTTTCACAAACCCCAAAAAGTACCCCAAAATACAACATATTTCAACAAATCCACATCCCCTGATAGCCCCGATCTGTGTGAACAACATATCCAAAAATCACCCAGTTTGGTTCAGGGGTTCAGGAATTTCCTGGAAGTCTTATTTTTGCACATGGTCCCATGCCCAAAACAGTTCCATACACTTGACGACAAAACACTGCTGGACAATTTAAGATGGCCACCACCGCATGTTTGAAAGGGGCATTGTGCTAATTCCCAATATGCACAAATAGTGTTTTTAAAAGGCAATGCACCCCAGGGGCAATTGTCACAGGGCAAGCTGTCGTACATACCGCGGTCGCAAGCTGGCATACATACTGCGGTCACAGGGTTCACGGCTGCCACTGGGCCCGGGCCTCCAGGAGCCTGGCTGCCCTGCGACCCGGTATGCATGCCAGTGTGGCAACATTTTGACAGCCTCTTCTCCTGGGGGGCCCAGAATCTGGCCACCTCAGGGCCTCCTGAGGCTGGCAGCGGCATCATTCTGAGGGCGGGCGGGAGCGCGAGGGAGCATTCTCCCCTGAGTGCTCTCTGCCCAGCTCCCTCACGCGCACCGCACTGATGCCGGAGCCGGAATATGAGGAGGAGGATCTCAAATGCTCCCTCGCCGCCTACAGGACCGCCCAGCAGCCACACTGGACTCCAGGGAATCCCCTCAGCACTCCCAAAGGTAGGGAGGCTGGGGGTTTAAATAAAAGAAAATGTGAGTGTGTATGTATATGTGTGTTAGTTTGTGTGTGTCAGCTAGTGAGTGTCAGTAAGTGTGTTAGTGAGTGTTACTGTGTGTGTGTCACTGAGTGTGTTTGTGTTTCTGTTTTTGAGTGTGTGTCTGCTAGTGAGTGTCAGTGTGTTTGTGTGTGTTTGTGTGTCAGTGAATGTGTGTGTTACTGTGTGTCTGTTACTGAGTGTGTTAGTTTGTGTGTGTCTGTTAGTGAGTGTGTGTTTGTCAGTGAGAGTGTATGTTTTGTAAGTGAGTGTGTATTTGTGT